AATTTGGCAGCCATTTTGAAAGAAATACCCGGCACCATGTCAAAAATACATTTTTAAAATTTTTGTCAAATTTGTTTTCGGGCACATATCGCCTCAATAGCCAGTTTGTGTTTGAAGAATTTAAAAATAAATTTTTATTCCCCCACCACTAAAACGCTCTCCGAAATTTCCTGAAGACCACCATATTATTATTATTATTGTTCGATTTATATAGCGGCTCTTCATTACACATGTTTCTAAGCGCATTCACAACAAAACAGTTCAAAAACATTTTTGAAATAAGTATGTTTTTAAGTTAGTCTTAAAGCTCTGGATGGAAGAGGACCCTCGAAGAGTTTTTGGAAGATCATTCCACATTTTAGCTGCTCTGACAGAGAAAGCATATTCACCAGAACGCTTATTATATTTGGGGATCCTCAATATGCTACGATCACTTGAAGAACGAAGGTTGGATCGCCGGGGAGTATAGAAATAAAAGAGTTCTTTTAAATAACTGGGTGCGGTGTCAGAATAATTTGATTTAAACACATTCACAGGAGCTTTAAATTGAACCCTCGCTCGAACTGGAAGCCAATGGAGTTTCTGTAACTTAGCTGATATATGATCAAATTTTCGTGTTTTAGTTATAAGACGTGCAGCATTGTTTTGCGCTATTTGTAGTCTGTTTAGAGCTGTTTCTGGTGCTCCTAATAGAAGAGAATTTGCATAGTCCATGTGCGATGTTACTAATGCACTAACAACACTCTGGCAAGCATCAGTATTAAGATTAGTTTAGATTACAGCGTATTCTCTAAATTGGTTTCTTTTGCAAATTGTTTAGGGTAAGACGTTATCCCTCCAGGCCTATGTGTAGATAATAATATTAATCTGTCTCATATATACACTACACAAATTAAACAGATACGAAATGAAATGAAATGAAATGGGGTTTAACGTCCTACTGTTTTGCTCCGAACTGGGCTAATGAAGACGGGCATACGCCATACAGTGTGCTATGAGGGAAATTTTGCTCAGACAGTGGAACTACGGCCTACTCTTATATCGAATTCCAACTGTCAAGGGATCTTTTACGTGCACGCCAATGTGTACACGGGACCTCGGTTTTTCGTCCCATCCGAACGACTAGACAGCTTTCCTTGTCAGCCCCTCCGTCCTGCATCACTGGCAAGGGAGAACCACGCCGGAAAATCTGGATGAACTTTCTCGGCCAATGCAGGGTAAAACAGATACAAATACATGTTATTCCACAGGTAGACAGACACGGGCCCAGTGAAGGGGGTGCAATTGGTTTAGAGCTTGTCCACCTCCTTTGAACAACAATCATGTTGTTCTGATGTTGTTCTCAACCAGTTTCTAACATAAATCATGTCTCAGATTTGTTACAAATCGCCATTTACATGTTCCACACAACCCAACATTTATCGGCACCGGGATTAAGGGTATATTTCTATTTTTTCTTGCGTATATTGCGAAAACGTCACCGAAACTACAATAAAAACTTGTCTACAAATGCATTCTCAAGAGTGGAAACTGACACATTTCAAGCTTTACTATGCTTTAAAGAACAATATTGGTGTCAGTCATTATCACATATGTGATAGAACTGGTTAAACACGTTCCAAATATAATTTTAACATAGAGATCATTGCTATGATAGATGCATAATGAAGATTTCAAGAAACAGAAGACGATAGAAATATGATGTGATGCAACTGAAAGTTCATATGCAACATAGATAATTGATATCTACATTCAAGTTAAAGTCACATTATGGGAGATTAGATAACGAGTTGGCAGTTCTCACTATAATAGTTAAAAACTAGATAATGTGAAGGCAATTTTCTGAAAATTTCATTCAAATTGATCCCCTATGAACCCAGAATTAAGCGATTGAAATTTCCGCCTAGCCTCGATCATCACTACTAAAGTCAGTACTATAAACAGCATAGTCTCGATTATCCATTTAATCATTAAATCGTGAAGGAAGGTTATGCAGTAAATCGGCTCATAATCCACTAAAGATCACAGGCTAGCGATGCCATCGAGAGTTAATTATGGTCTGGATAGGTTAATTAATGTCTAATTAATAATTTAGATAACATTTCAGGCCTAAAGAAAGACCTGCAATAGACAGATTTAGCTCTTGCATAATGTAACTAGCGGTATATATTTATTTTGAGGTCTTACGTCGAGCTGAATAAACTATATGACTTATTGTAATTCAATGGTTGGTTAACAGTGTGTAATTAAAAACTATAATTAGATCTTTGTAGAAATAATTATAGAAAGTTATGTAAAGATAACATACAGTTGCACATACAGCCAATTCAGTGGGAGCCACGGTGGCTAAGTGAATAAGACGCTGGCTCGCTAGCCTGCATTGGCCGAGAAAGTTCATCGGATTTGCCGACGTGGTTTCCCCTTGAATGTCAGTGGTGCAGGACTGAGGGCTTGACAAGGGCAGCTGTTTAGTCGTTCGGATGGGACGAAACCCCGAGGTCCCGTGGTGTGGACGTGGTGTCCAATCTTCTTCGATTTTTAAGGATTCGTTTACGCGCGTGCCATTTTGTACACGAATGGGCCCCGATTTTTGTGCCCTTTCCGAACGACTAGACACTCTATTGCCCGTCATCCCCGCAGGCGTCAGCCCTATCAAGTCGAGGCCGGGCTTGAAACATTCCTACGGTTTTTCTCGACCCATTCGAACCCGGAACATTCTAGATAGTCAAAGTCCAGTGGGACTTAAGGACAATTAATAGTTCAAATATTACAACCATCTACCTTATCAGTGAGGTTATTGTTCGCCTGGGACCTCAGTGAAGTTGTATTGCGAGGCGAAAATAAATTTTATATTTGAATTATACAGTTAGGAACGGTGGAAGCCGCACATCAGCTTTCAACACCCCCTACATCGTGTTTCATGCCCTACATCTGCATCACTGGGCTAATGTGCGCTATGGGGCATGGCCCTTAAGAGGAAAAAAATGTGCTGGGCGAAACCTTTTTTGCTTCAAAGGAACAATAAAAAATTCATGCATAATTGCCGATTTCAATTTTGAACTTTAATATTCATGGGCCACATAGACCCTTATGGGCCCTTGGACGGCGCGCCGGCGCTGCAGTAGGCCTACCCACTCGCGAGGCCTGCTGTGGGCGAGACACCCCACCCCCTCCTTTCCAACACTAGTCATACATAGATGATTTACTATATAGCAGATTGCGAGCGAAAACTTTTGTACATACCGGTACTTATATAAGCTTCAAAGGAACAATAAAAAATTCATGCATAATTGCTCATTTCAATTTTGAACTTTGATATTCATGGGCGTCATAGACTCTTATATGGGCCCTGGGGCGGTTCACCGGCCGCACCACCCTCTCGCGAGGCCTGCTATGAGGGAGAGGTTTCCTACTCTTTTACGATTATAGGAATACGAGTTTTCTTCCTGTTGCACGCACACCCAAAACAATATTTTTTTATATTCATACATTGTGTAGCAACATTTTACAAATAATTCTGATCCTATTACTTATGAGGCAAATTTTAGCCCTTTTTGGCCCTTTTAATCTGCACCTCCCAGCCAAATGCCCCACTGAAACCTCGTAAGACTGGGTGTTTTGAATTTTCCCTATAAATAGCTGCCAATTAATATTATAAGGTCCATGCTCATACGTAATAGATTATAAGGTCCTTGAACTGTTAAAGAATCCACCCCAACCGACATATAGAATCTTCCAGAGATATGAATATTCAACCTGTTTACAAAACAAATGAAATGAAATGGGGTTTAACGTCCTACTGTTCTGCTCCGACTAGTAGGTAAAATTTGCCGAACAGCGGCACTACGGCCTACTCTTATATCGAATTCCAACTGTCAAGGAATCTTTTACGTGCACGCCAATGTGTACACGGGACTTCGTTTTGGACCCATCCGAAGGACTAGACAGTTGTCCTTGTCAGGCCCTCAGTCCTGCACCACTGACATTGTGACAAGAGAAAACCGCGCCGGAAAATCTGGATTGACCCCCCGTTTACAAAACAATCGCACCAGATCTTTAACACGGCTTCTTACACAATATTTGTTTGGTTGAACATTGCCCCCGTGGCTTAGTGTGTCGTGTTCTAAAGTCCCGGGAATTTGTGTGGGCAAAATCGATAACCTGCTGCAGAAAATAAAGAACTGAAAAGTGTGGTGAAAGAGCGCGAACGACCTTCACCCTCTTTACTAAACATAACACACAAGGCAAGGCGTATGAACTTATTATTAGAAACTGGCGCGCTCACAGATGCACATAATAATATCCTGTGCTATACTAATAACAATGTGGGACACAGCTATCAAGTAACCCGCTTTTGCCGCCAAGCCATCCGCGTTCACCATAATCACCGACCGTCTTGTGTACTAAAACGAGACCCGATAATGTATCGTCATTGCTGAAACTATGTCAGGCACCTTCCATTTCATGCATAAGGGGTGATGACTCTTTTTATTAATCGACCCATATATTCTTCGACCCATAATACTCTGATTAACGCGATATTTATTCAAACGATCGCTACTATAACTGTGTATTTTGGTTTTAATCTCTTGTTGTTCGACACAGATCATTATCAATATATTATTGTTTCATCCCATACCAACTACGCCCCTTGTAGTATTAGAAAAATGTACGTAGTTTATTCCATTTAGAAAATAGGGATATTTGTCATGTGAATATTGATGTGAGCAGTTCGTGGCGATGATTTGAGAAGTACAGTAGTCGTGTTTCATTACAATAATATGTCCTGTTTTTTAAAACTAAAACTTCAAACGAACTAAACACCGAAGAACACGTTCCTATCACGATGAATAATTAACTGGCTATATTCACTCCACTGCGGTGCAATGGGATATCCCTTGGCCTCAATCTGTGTGACGTCATGCAAGGTAATGCGGTCGAACATGCAACTAGCATGTATCCCTACGCCATTTCATTAGATCGAGATCCTCTCTGATAACTTGGATTAACCTGTTGATAGTGGATAATAATTTGTTTACAGGGTGTTTATTTGTTAAGTTATATTTGAATTCGGTACTGAAAGTGTTCTGTCCGTCAATTTCACACTGAATTGTATTAAAATCGCGCCACATGGCGTAAAATTCTAGCTTCCTCCGCCATTGTGGGAAAACTGACGGTGTGTCTATTTCTGACGATAGTGAGAGAGCTTGCACGGTTTTCCTTCATCTCTTTGCCAATAACGGGATATTTATATTAAATTTGTGTTATTCAACACGTGATGTGTTCAGGTATATCCTGATTGTGTCTATTAAGTTTATTACTGTTTAATATACACTGTTTATTGCTTTATTTATTATAATAATTGGAACGAAGTCGTGTGACTGGGAGTGCAGACTTTTCTATTAGGCTACAACAATATAGTTCGATCTTTCTAGATACTGTGAAGTCGACTGAAGACACTGATTACCGACTACAGAGTGTCTTCAATAAAGTTTAATTCGTCCGAATTCTATTGGAAGTACATGACCAAAAATATTGTGATAGTTGGGATAAAACTCATAGGGATTTTAAAAGTTCTAAATAAACAATACATGTAAGTAAATTTCTAAAATCTAATAATGATTTATCCCAGTGCTATTTATAATCTACTATCTTACTATCTAGCTAGGACTTATAACGAGATTAGGATTTATACAAATTACAAGTCACAGTTAGACGAAGCTTAGATTTCTGATAAAAATGATAGAGAAATCTATCTGGCTAAGCATAAGCCATAATCCTTTCAAAAAGATTTTGTGAGCTGATGAATGGGGAAATAATGGCAGTCTTGGAGTGATAATGAAATGAAAGGTTTTGTTTTGTGACCGACATCCGTCTTTTATTTGTTGTTTATTACCATTTTCAAAGTTTCAATGTTATTATCATTATGTAAAATTGCCTACGCCGTCCTTCTTCTGCTAAAAAAAACCGTACATTTATACTTCTCAAGTCATTTGTCACGTGTGTGTAGGGAAAATTGAAGGAAGGTGGACAGTTCACTGAGTCAGTGACTGACTTGGCCCTCAGCCCTGTCATCTACGGATTTTCTCCTCCCTGGAGACCACATTATATCATTTGCCAATAATATCGGTTCATGGTAAAGGTTCGAATTAAATTTAAAAATTAATGTTTAGATTCAGTCAATTGTGGAAGGAAGCTATGGCAGGCTTTTGATTTTGTTCAGGAGCTTTTTCTATAACCTGTTTCAGTTATGCTTTCTTTCTTGGACTATAGTCTGCATATCAAAAGTGGGTAGAATGCAATCTATCTATAGCCTGTTTATTGTTTGTGTATCAGCTTGGCTGATCATGATGAAACGTGTGTTTTCTGTTATAGTCTGTTTCATAAATTAACCAGCAATATGGTACATGTAGCTGAATGCAATATTAATATTTCAAATGGAAATTTAGAAAAATATATTTGTTTAGCATGCTTCATTACTAAAGATTTCCTTGATTGATAATACAATTTACATACGAAAAAAAAAAAAACAGTAATATATTTTTTTTCTTAAAAAGAAGAAAAGAAAACTTACATTAACATTACCAGTAATATTTGTGTGATTATAGTCATGCATTATATAATAGAGGGACTGGATGACCAAATGGTTAGCACATGCATGATTTCGATTCCCCGGTTGTACTTGACAAGGAGTAGGGACACCAGTCCAACCTCGTACTAGTCGTAGGTTTTCTCCGGGTCCTCCAGTTTCCTTCCACTGTTAATGACACCTACGCACAAGCGAATTATTGAAATAAAATTGAATCATGTTAGCCCCAAAATGACCTAGTTTGTGTTGAGTGGATGTTAAACCCCATTTCTCTCTCTCTCATTATATAATAGCTTAATCAACAATCACATCAGCTGTCTAGACCAATGGGTGACCAAGATATTGATTAAAATAGAACACGTCTGCCTCATTTTATAATTGAATGTTAAAATGGACAATAGAGACTTTGGTGCTTGACAAGCAAGACTACGTGTACATGACTGCTTGGAAATACAACCGCATATCGTGCAGAATATGTGAACATGCATGGTCTCATCATCCAGCGTGGCCAATGATAGTATCGCATCTGTATTAATGAAAATATTTAACATTTATAACATCGTGGCAGTATATCTTTTTGACATTGAATGTTTATGACAAATAAATACTGTTAATTGCACCGAGGCCTATCGTGTCACACGATAGCGACTGCTACACCGAGTTATTTATCGCGGTGTTATTGTGGCAATTTTCAACAAAAAGCGATGACTGTACATGTTATGTACCTAGGCTATTTCTAGTCAAACAAAACATCAACCATTCATGTTGTTGCTCCGAATAACGTAGCTTGACGGAAATTTTTGTTATCTATTTAAACTATTATAGCAAGAACACAGTAGAGTAATTTGAATGAAATTTTCAAATTATTCATTTTGCCTTATCTTTTTTCGAACTATTATAATAGCAAGAATGGCTATCTCTTTATCTAAATCTTACATGTGCATAATGTATCTTTATACAAAGTCTCCTTTTTAATGCCCAACACTTAAAGGGCCTTTGGAACCTTAGAATAGACAGTACACATTAGTGTAATATGAATGTATATGAAGTGATCAATCTAATTAAAATATAGATCTATATTTCGTTTCGTTTTTTATACTTTCGATGGCCTACACTACATTTATTTCTAACAAGTTATAGTGGGAGTTCACGTTCTATGACATCAGGTACCAAGCAAGCGACATTTGACCCGATTACCGCCATGTTTTTTTTTATCTACATGTACTTTTGCTTTGTTTTGATTTCTATTGACGCTAATGTCTACCCACAGTTTCGCGCAAAAAAAGGTCAAACGCTCGATTCGAAAGACCATTTGATTGGCTGACCCCTCATTTCAAGCAGAACACAAGTTAAATAACAACGCTTCCAGATCCAAGTGTAGTAAAGACAAGTAAAATCGAAATTTTGAACTATAAAAACGAAACAAAATTGTATCTGTGTTTTAATCAGATTGATGGAGTGATTTATGTTCAAGTTTTTATAAATTTTATTGTAATTTCTAATCTACATGTACGGACATGTATTATGTTTGGTGAAATGTGAGATTTCAAGTAGAATAACCTAAAACTTGGCATGAGTGTTTTTTAGACAGTTGCACATAGATTTTTGACATGTCTCAATTCCAAGATGGCGATTTTCACACCATGCTTGGTTCCTGATCGAGTACGGTAGTACGCTTGTGCTTGTTAAAAAATGTCTTTCCATGGCATAAGGTTGGTTTTATACGTAGTAGGCCATCTTGTTGGCACTGTAGTCACATTAATATTCATTTAATACATGTACCAAAATAATTATAAACTTTTTTATTGTCTGATAATGAAAATATTTTCGCTAGGCCTACTGTTTAATAATTTAATTTTGCATTAATATTACATTGTACATGTATTTGTAGCTGGTCTGGAATAGGACATTAGGCCCATTTCATTTTAAACTTGATTTTATTTCACTTATCCATGATGGTTTCGAATCCCCGGTTGTACGTGCAAGGAGTAGGGTCGCCTGTCCAACCTCATGGGGTTTCTTCGGGTCCTCCGGTTTCCTTAATATTACATTGTACATGTACTTGTAGCTGGTCGTGAATAGGACATTAGGCCCATTTCATTTTAAACTTGATTTTATTTCACTTATCCATGATGGTTTCGAATCCCCGGTTGTACGTGCAAGGAGTAGGGTCGCCTGTCCAACCTCATGGGGTTTCTTCGGGTCCTCCGGTTTCCTCCCACTGCTAAAGACCCCTACGCTCAAGCGAATTATAGAAATAAAATTAAACCATGTGTTAGTCCCAAAATGACCTAGTTTCTGTCGAGTGGACGTTAAACCCCATCTCTCTCACTTATCCATGAAGTTCTGTGTACATACAATAAGAGAACCCTTGACAGTTGGAATGCCATGTATTAAAACAGAACCATTGCTGTCATGGGCAAGATTTCTTTAGTACATGTACATGTAGCCTGTCCAATTTTGGGGGTTTTCTCCGGGTCCTCCAGTTTCCTCTCACTGCTAAAGACCCCTACGCGCAAGCAAATTATTGTAATAAAATTGAACCATGTGTTAGTCCCTAAATGACCTACATGTAGTTTGTGTGGAGTGGAGGTTAACCTCTGTCTCTCTCTCTCTCTCCCCTACATGTACATAGTACATGTACATGTAACACACTGCATGATGTCTGCCCAACTTTATTTGGTGCAGTAAGGGTAGCACATTAAACTCAAATTTTAGTTCACTTTTCCATAAATTATTTATGAAAAAAAAATATTTTCACAATGACAAGACAGTGAGTTTTGTCTTTGGATCTGCTCTGCTGAGGTCATGTCACCGTCATGTCTACACATATTTTTAAATCAATATGGTTGACAGGCCTGGAAATACATGTACATGTAAGGGTTTTAAATGTACCTGACAAATTGTCAGGCACTTATGAAATAGTACCTGGCATTTTAAACTTAGTGCCGGACATGTATTAAGGATATCAATAAAAAAGACAAATCAATGCCAGACAAAATAACAGGCACTAGAGGTTTTGTGCCTAACAAAGCCGGAGCCTGTGTCTGACATTGTCTGTCACAGGTGCCTTATTTCCAGGCTTGATGGTTGATAATAATTAGGGAATAGTAGAGTAATTTTTACAAACATTTTTTTAACATTTGTTCTGAATAACTTTAGCATTGTCGATAAATGCATGTATTTAAAAGAGATATGAAATAGAGACGACGCTTCCTTTAAATTGATAAGAATAGAATGCCACATTGTTGAAACGACCATTAATGAGTCCAGAAAGATAAAAAGGTCAACCTTTAATAAGCAATTGGTATTTGTGGTCATGCATGATAGAAGAAATATAGTATAGAGGTACATGTACATATAGGTTAGGGGGAGTGGATGGCCGAATAGTTAGTGCTTGCGTGTGGCATTATAACTGGCGTGGTTTCGAATCCCCGGTTGTACGTGACAGGGAGTAGGGTCGTCTGTCCAACCTCATGGGTTTTCTCCGGGTCCTCTGGTTTCCTCCCACTGCTAAAGACCCCTACGCGCAAGCAAATTATTGAAATAAAATTGAACCATATTTAGTCCCGAAATGACCTAGTTTGAGTTAAGTGGAGGTTAGGTGAGGCTCTCTCACTCTCTCTCTCTCTCTCTCTCTCTCTCACTCTCATGTACATGTAGGTTAATGATTGATCAGTGATATAAGATTATGGATGAGAAGTCTGTTTAAGTTGAAGTTTGTTGTGTTGTAGGAGTTAATATGATATAATATTGTGTAATATGATGTGGAGTTGGATCAGGTTATTGTTGACCCAGAGTCTTCTGATTGTATAATGTCTAGGGTTATGTAATTTACAACATCTATAGTCTACTACTCATTCAGACTTACTATGTTGTCAATGAACCATTGCCACCCTTCGAAAACCTTGAACTTGGTTTTGAAAACAAACACTAATCTATTTACTTAATCTTATTTTTCCGGAAGTCGGGTTAATTTTTTTTTTACCCTTTTCTTTCTGAGCTCGCTTCTGAGTTGGTACATGAGTTCTTAAAGGGTCATTATAGAATATTAGATAAAGGGCTGGCAGTTCTCACTAGATAATGTAAAGGGGGTATGCTGAAAATGTCAGTCAAATTGCTCCACTCTGAACCGAGATATTACTGTTTGAATTATAGGCCTTGCCTCAATCATCGTTACTAAAGTCGGTACGATAAAAAAAATATAGTCTCGGTTATCCATTTTGGCGTTAAATCATCCATCACAAAATGTAGTCAGATCCAGTAAAGATCACAGGCTAGCGATGACATCAAGAGTTGATTATGGTCTGGATAAGTTAATTAATGTCTAATTAATAATTAAGATAACATTTCAGACCTAAAGAAAGACATGCAATAGGCAAATTTAGCCCTTGAATAATGTATGTTTAAGAATAAAGTAAATGGTTAAGGATGGAATAGTACAAAAAACAAATACATGTACATGTGTAGGAAGAAAATAAAGATTGTTTGTTTTTTGGTTGGTGCAGAAAAGCACGGCATTAAGCTCCATACAATGTACATCTACATGTGCATGAAACTGCATTTTGGAAGCCCCAGGGGCTCAGTAGGATGTTGGCTCACTGTGAAAGTCCTGTGTTCAATTCCAATGTTGGCCGACCAGTGATGAACGCCCTAGACTCTTAACCCTTTGAACCCTGAAAATATTTTGGGTGTGGCACACCCCACCCTGACTTTACAGCAGGAATTTGGAAAAATGACGTCATTTTGATTGGGACTAAATGTTCGGTGTGAATTTGATATTATATGTGTTTAAAATTGTGTGAAATGATGAAACAACGATATTTAATCACAATATTTAATTTCGTCAGAATCTGAATCATATTCACTTTAAAAGTCGCTCTCATTGCCGTAATCCGAACCATTAATATCGTCGTCATTATCGCTCATTATAAAAGCTAGCGCATCCATTGTATTTAATCGTTTAGAACACATATTATATCGAATAATTTGCTAATATCTAAATGTAAACAATCTAGAAGGAAGTCACTGTTACCAACAGACCCGGAGCAAACGGTAAACTGTATTTTGATTGGCTAAATTATTATTGTTAAGGCCGCGATTCAAACAACACGCCCCAAGCCGCAAAACCGACATTTCGGGTATATGCGATACAGCGTTAAGCCGGTTTTGCGGCATTTCGGGTTCTAAGAGTTAAAACCTTTATAGCTAAATTTTTAGCCAGATCAAACTTCTATTAGCCAATTCAGAAACTTGTAGCCAAATGTTGTATTTCTATTCATTTGTTTTAAAATACATATTTAATATGTACTTATTTTATTCCCTGAACCGTCCAAAAGTTCAAATTTGCGAGGATGCAGGCAACAAAAAATGAGATTCTGTCATACAAGTGTCATTTGTACTTTCCTCATCACATCAATCACATTCACATTGTCGCGTCAGTAACTTTCTAGAAGAAGTAGAAGTTGTATCTGACATTTCGTTAATAATGTGCTTCGCAGATGAAGGTAGTAAAAATGAATCTATCCTTATTTTCGGTTCGGTACATGGAAATAAATATTAGTAATCATTATTCATTATTTTAATTTGAAAATAAATTGAAAAAATTATAGCTAAGCAAAAGTAAAACATAGCAGCGCCATACAAAAGGGACGTACATGTAACTACATGTATGTTTGAGACTAGAGTCAATTAATGTACTAAAAATAGACACTACTGTACATCGAGTCAATCGAAAAAAAGAGTTGAACTAGACAATTTCAAGATTAAAATTAGAAGATTTTTTAAATTACACTTTTGCCAATATCAATTTGATCGCCAATAAAAAGAATTATCGCCATTAGCGAATTGGCCAATGTCTAGGGTGGTCACTGGCCAACAAAGTTTGTCAGGATTTTCCGGTGTGGTTCCTCCCTTGTCAGTGGTACATTAATATTATAGAGGGATTTTGATATACAAGTACATGTACAAGTACATGTACATTTGTAACCGTAGGCCGAAAAATTTTCCCTATAGCACACTGTAAGCCTCATTTCATTTCAAACTTCAATTTTTTTCACTTTATGAAATAAAAGATGGAGCCAAAATATTTTCTCAATGACATGTCTAGAAATGTACTTATCAGTTTTACATACATGGTGGGTATATTTTCTTCCTGGCTGGTTTCAGGATTTAGTCATTACATCAAGCCTGGAAATATATGTGAGGCACCTGTCATTTTGTCCTGCACTGATTTGTCTTTTTTATTGATATTATTAATACATGTCCGGCACTAAGTTGGAAATGTCAGGTAGGCCTACTATTTCATCAGTGCCTGACATTTTGTCAGGTACATGTACATCAGTGCCAGACAATTTGTCAGGTGCATCAGTGTCTGACCATTTCTCAGGTACATCTAAAACCGTTATTTCCAGGCCTGCATTACATGTATGTACTAAGGTTGCAACGATATCAAATTATTTTATCACGATTAATCACGATAACAGCTTTTCGAATTATCGCGATAAATAGTAGTATTGCGATTATGTATTTTATCATGATAGTTCTCTTTTATCGCGATAAAAATGATCCATGATGGCATGATGAGAAAGAAAATTGAAACATCCAGGGTGTTGGGCATTGACCAGATTCTAATATGTCGGCGTATTGGGCAGTGTGATTGTCCGTGTTTCCAATAAGCGTAATTGTCTAAATACGAAAATATCAGCTTATATATACTTTTGATACCATCGATGAATGTTGTTTATTTAAAATAACTTCTATTCTTTCGATAATCAGTGATCTGGCGATTATTAGATTTATCGCGATAACTGAATAAATTTCCCGATATACCGGGGATGGCGATTATCTATTTTGGGCCGATACGATATCATAATTAAAAAAATAATCGCGATTAATCGGCATCCCCGGGTTATCGCTGCAACCTTAGTATGTACATGTATGTATATTTATAAACACAAATGGAAGAATATATAAATATACCACGTACATGTAAATATTACTATACTACTATTTTTATTTATGAATGATGTATTCTATTTTTTCAGTCAATGAATAAAAGGTGAGCCGATGTTAGAGTTGTCCGATCTTCATGTCTAAGTTGTTTCCACCATGAGTTTTAGTAGCGATGAGGTGAACTTTCTTGTATATCGCTACCTACAAGAATCAGGTGAGATTATATTTGTTTTTGTTTTTATTTGACATAAAATTCTATAGAATCTCATGGAACCATGAAATACAAATCAATTTTACTCAAAACATCCACAATTGCTTGAGGACATTCTAGAGGATAGAGTTAATATCAGGGGTCATGAGAAGAAGAAGGCTATTGATTCTCAATGATTTCGGATAGATGTAATTACTGCCAGAGTTATGGCCCTTTATCACTTTGAAAAATCTTGAGGCTAAAGTTACTGTAATATCAAATTGACTTGAAATTTATACACGGTGTTTAAGGTCATGAGTCGAAAAGCCTATTGATTTTTAATAATTACTGCCAGAGTTATGGCCCTTGATCACTTTGAAAAATCTTGTGGATGCTCTTGAGGCTAAAGTTACTGTAATATCAAATTGACTTGAAATTTATACACAGTGTTTAAGGTCATGAGACGAAGAAGCCTATTGATTTTCAATGATTTCCGATAATTGCTGCCAAAGTCCCTTGATCACTTTGAAAATCTTGTTGATGCTCTAGAATACACTGTACATGTATAAAGTTAATATCCAATTGACGTTAAATTTATACACAATGTATACAGTCATGAGACGAAGAATCCTCTTGAATTTCAATGATTTCCTCTAATTACATGTACTTCCAGAGTTATGGCCCTTGATATTAAATGTTTTGTATACTAAACGTTAGTATAGGGCAGAACTATTAGAAGCCAAACAAATTCTAATGATTTCTGATACTGTACATGTACTTGTAATTACTTAATGGGCTGTTGCTCATGATCAGATTTTAGTGTGTTGTACATGGTAAATGTTTTCATTACTGCCAAAAGAAAAATATGCGATAACCGTTGTTGACTGCTCGATGACTTGCATGTAGATACTGTTAGCGTATGTTTCATTGCCTAGCAACCTATCTTTAAGGAGTGAAATCTAGTACATGTATACAGTATCTCACTCTAAGTAAAAATGGTTAGATAAAAGAACCGGGTACAAATTGTCCTTTTTATGTTAGAATACCGGTATTCTTTTACTTTTTAAATTGTGTTTCTTACAAAAGTTCTTTTTTTGAAGTGGGGTTTGATGGCCGATTTGTTATCATGTGCGGGCTGTATCATAAGGTCTGTCATTGAGTCAACCGACGTGGTTTTGATTCCCCGTTTGTACGTGACAAGCAGTACATTTAGGGTCACCTGTCCAACCTCGTGGGTTTTTATCCAGGTCCTCTGCCCCCCCCCACCACTAAAGACCCCTACGCGCAAACAAATTATTAAAATAAAATTGAACCATGCGTTAGTCCCGAAATGACCTAGTTTGTGTCGAGTGGACGTTAAACCCCATTTCTCTCTCTCTTTTTTTTGAAACACTGAATATGGCAATTATTTGTTGGTTTAAAGACCAAAGGAATCAGATTCTTCTCCCATTTCTACCATGAAGTTCTTCAAATTTAATTTTATTGATTATCTGTTCTATGACCGCCACATAAAGCAGTCTATCCCAGCGGATACCAGCTAGTCAATACCCGTCTGGCAAACTGCAGCCATGGTAGCCATTTTGTTAACCAATCAACGTTAGATTTAGAACAAAATCTGAAATAATGAGTTTCGTTAAAAACGACCAGAATGATACACATGTATGTACATGGGTAAAGGACAATTCGTACCCAAACATTCTTGTCCACAGGCAACTGCTAACTGGATAATTCATCCCCTGGAACTATTCGTGCCTGACCAATTCACCCTGGATAATTCATATCCACACAATTCGTTCCGTGCACAATTTCACCCCAGACAATTCGTCTCCTAAGACTAGAAGTCTCTGGATTGTTAAAAAATAAATATGATGGCCAAATGGAGAAATAAATTACTATTTCCCCCTGTTTTTTTGAAGACTACATGTATACGGTACTATTTTCTGCCAATAATGAAACTCTTAGGTGGGGGGGGGGGGGTGCATTTTATTCAACCCGAATCTTTTCATTTTAAATCACACATCAAATGAATCCATAGTGTGAAACCATTTAAACATGTTATTGATTACACTCAAGTACTGTATACGAATCTATAATTGCATGGCACGAAGATTACCCTTCATATAATAGTTGGCCAGACTTTTGTATAAGAATCGGTAATTGCATGGCACTAAGATTAGAAAAAAAAACTTCTTATACCCTTCATACATAGCTGGCCAGACTTTTTCTACATGTTACGGTTCTGATCAAAACCATCCAGCATGATGCAATTACCCTCATAGCACAATACATGGCATACTGTATGCAGGGGGGTTGGATGGCCGAATAGTTAGCACGTGCGCGTTGCATCATAAGGTCTGACATTAAGTCAACTGGCATGGTACATGTACATGTATCGATTCCCCAGTAGTACATGTCAAGGAGTAGGGTCGTCTATCTAACTTCAGGGTTTTTCCTCCCACTGCTAAAGACCCCTACGTGCAAGCGAATTATTGAAATATAATTGAACCATATGTTAGTCCCAAAATGATCTAGTTTGTGTCGAGTGGACGTTAAATCCCATTTCTCTCTTTCGATCCGTTAGTGGTTAATTACAATTCATGAATTCTAATAAGCCTCATAGAATATTATTGGTGTAAGCTAAAAATGTTGAAAGAAATGTGAACCAGTTTCTTTTTAAAGATACATTATGGGAGATTAGATAAAGAGCTAGCAGTTCTCACTATAATTTCAGTCAAATTGATCCACTCTGAACCAAGATTTTCGTGATTGAATTTTCTGCCTAGTCTCGTTCATCATTAGTAAAGTCAGTACAATACATGTAAAAAAAACATAGTATCGATTATCCATTTCATGATTAAATTATGAATGAAAGTCTAACTGGAAATAGGAACCTAATCCAATGATAGGATGACCCGTGCACTTTACAGAAAGTTGGTCTCGACACGGCTAAATGTGCACGCTTCAGTTGCGTGTCTCGAACTGATTTCTGACTACCCCGCACTCGCTTTGAGTCGATAAATAGCCATGGCACGTGCAATTCTCTACAAATATATCAACTATTACAGCCGTAAAAAATCTATTGTTGACGATTTTGAATAGCAGTAAAATTTAGCTTCTTGGTTATTACAGCAGCTTTAGTAATTACGTTTGTTTTATTTTTTAAATTGCTTTATCATTAACTGTACCGTTAAGAGCGGCATCTTTTGGTTTAGTACAAATACTATCTCTGAATCACTTTCTTTAGCAGGAACATGATACTAGCAGTAGTTTCATTTTACTTTTACAAGTTTCTTAAAACAATTGTTGAGTTGTCTAAAGTGCTTATTTCTAAATTCAATTTCTTGTTCTAGCTTTCTGTTATGTTTCGTAAAAAAGTAGTCTTGATTATCCCGACCTGTCAATCAGACGTAGAATGGTCGATAGACTGGTTAAGCGAGACTAATTTCAAAACAAGGGCACGTAACCTATCTTTTACTCAAAAGTGTCTGGATGTTATGGACGCAACTTGGAACCAGTTTTCAGTCTATTATTTATAGATGATTAATGGTCATAGCTTATTAAGTACAACATGATCATTTATTTAGTGACTATAATTGTGTGAAACTGATTTGAGGCTTGGCATACATGTATATATAAATATTGTGGCGTAATTGTCGAGATATTTGGAGATATTTATTTATGGTGGGTCACCCTACCAATGAACATCGCAGCCTAGCGATGCCATCGAGAGTAGTTGATTATGGTCTGGATAAGTTAATTAATGTCTAATTGATAATTTAGATAACATTTCAGGCCTAAAGAAAGACCTGCAATAGGCAAATTTAGCTCTTGCATAATGTACATGTATGTTTAATTGAGGTATTTTATTCTTTGTAGGTTTTGTGCATTCTGCTTACACCTTTGGTATAGAAAGTCACATCAGTCAAACAAATATAAATGGGGCGTTGGTGCCCCCAGCTGCCCTTCTTAATATCATTCAGAAGGGATTACAGTACACAGAGGCGGAGATCAGTATCGCAGAGGTATGGTATACATAAAAATTTGTTATTCTCGACAATTTTGTGGGGGAATTTCTCTTTCATACATCCATGATCTTTGACTTTTACCCTTTTCCACAGGTGTCATTATTAACAACAACAAACAGATACATTGAAAAACAACAAAAGAAAATATATTATTGTATCCATTACAAATGTTAAACGTACATGTGCTTTTAATTTACAGTTACTTTGCCTCGAGGGACAGGTTGGCCTACTTTTGAAATGAGGTGCGATATACATTTTAAAGCCCCAACAGAAATAAAATTCTAAAGCTTTTGACATTTATTTTTACACAGCCTACAAATGCACAGATGTAAAGAATTATTTAAATGCAGGACTTGCTAATGTCATTGAGATATTGAATAGAATTTTAATAGATTGACTCAGTTGTAAAAATTTGGACTCCAACCATTTAAGAAACTGACTATACATTTAGGTTAAGAAATTACAGAAATCCAGCATGGTGTGAGGTTTAGGTAAAACAGACTATAGTGAAAGCAAGCTATCCTGGCTGTGCTGATTCAGCCATGCTGTCTGATGTATGTTTAGTGGAAAAGCCCATATTTCTTTCTTTCTGGGCTCTTTATTATAGAAAAGCTGGCAACTAAACACTGAATTCGGTCAGGTCATTATCTGTTGTTTATCATAGCCAAGTTATTGATTAGAAAGAAAACTCTTTTTGGAAAATTTATTCTAGCGTGAAACTGGTGGTCATGAATACGGTTTTATTGATAAATTGAAGTCCTACCATAGCAACTATTTATGTTGTTATTCTATTTTAATTCTATTTTATACTTTAACAATTAAATGAGAGAAAGAGAGAGAGTTTAAGCCCACTCAACACAAACTAGGTCAATTTGGACTAACATATGATTCAATTTATTTCAATAATTCACTTGCAAGTAGGGGTCTTTAGCAGTGGGAGGAAATCGGAGGACCAGGAGAAAACCCTCGAGGTTGGACAGGTGACCCTACTCCTTGTCAGTACAACCATGCCAGATCTTATGATACAGCGCGCACATACATGTACATGTACATGAACTAACCATTCGGCCATCCAATCCTGCCAATTAAATGTACTATGTACATGTACATGTACATGTAGATAATTTAAATAGCATTATTAAAAATTCAATGGCTGCACTGTATATGATGTAAAATGCATTTGAAGTTAAATTTATTTAATACCAACTCAATGTTTTTTCTATTCTTCTGGTTTTTCGTATTTAAATATTTATTGACCCCAAAAATTACATTAGATTTCTTTAAATTTAGGCCATTGTAAGATAATCCCAAAACACATTTCATCCTAAAAAAAAAGTGAATGTATCTAAAACTATAAATGAAAAATAATAATAGATTTACCTGATGATGAAGGGTGTGTGAAATTCCCAACTGATTCGATGCACAATATGGTGCTAATTAACCATTTAATTATTGATCAGTTTAGACTGTAAAAAATACTGGACTTATATCTATTAATAAACAAAGCAACAGTTTTAAGGCCAATGACCAGCAAGTGCAGAAAAACAAATAATAAATTTACAGTTTTTACCACCCCATGTCAATTGTCAACACAGTGAGACAACTTCACAGATTATGACATACGTGTACACAATTTGACATCTTCCCGCAATGCACAGTAGTCTGCAGGAAGAAATTGCTGTCCGGATTTGCGTTCTCTCCAGTAAAATCAATCACGCAAAGATTGCATTTCCATATATAATACCTTGTGGGTTTTCTCTAGGTCCTCCGGTTTCCTCCCACTGCTAAAGACCCCTACGCGCAAGTGAATTATTGAAATAAAATTAAACCATGTGTTAGTCCCGAAATGACCTACATGTAGTTTATGTCGAGTGGATGTTAAACACTCTCTCTCTCTCTCTCTCTCTCTCTCCATAAATAATTTATTGTCAAAACAATTCTTCATTCCCCTTAAAACTGAAAATTGCTCTCCTTTACAAAGTCATGAGAGGTTTTATTATTGAAACCAGGAAGGACCCCATTATTGATCTTCAGAACCATTTCCCATACACACAACTAATCACTCTCCTTAATATCAGATCACTCTCCTTAATTTCTAAATCACTCTTCTTATCGAAACTGGGAGAGTTTTTTAGGGGAGCGATTTTTTCAATTTGTTGGTTAAGGGGAGCTTTTTTCGGCTCTCGTCTAAAATACAAACAACAACGACTGATGTAGCTAACGATAAATGAGCAACTGTGTCCGTGATTTACTAAAAACAACCGCTTAAATTCAAATAGAATCATGTGAAGAGTCCAGGGGAAGAACGATCTAAGTCACATTTTTGTCTTTTTGCATAAAAAGCAAAACAGACTTTTGGACGAGAATGTTTGACACGAACAGAACAACAAGTGGGTTTAATTACAACTTCAAAATGATGTTTAATAGGAATCATAATTACCAGTACAACTGACTGCAACTTTTCAGGCAAATTAAGGTTAAATAAATGGTATGATGGACCTCTATTTGTCTGGGAGGCCATTTCAGAAGGACCTTGGTTCAATGTGACTCCGATCGTTTTTAACTGAAATAGATTGTTCCACAGAAAGCTACCACAATTTGCTACCAGATGGCACCATTAACTTGGGTTTGTTAAAAAAAAAGTGACTTGGATCGTTTTTCCCCGGGGCTCTTCATTTCCTATTGAATCTCCGCAGTTTGCTTTCACATCATGATGCCGTTGGTGGACATGGAACAAAGCAAACCCCAATTGCCTGAGTGTTAATACAATGTTTTTGTTTTCTTGCATGTTGAAATTGTCATTTTTCTGGTTCAGTATAATCCAAATTGAGATATCGACTTTACTTATTGATTCCTTAAAGGGACTATCCCAATTTGAACAGATTCTAAAAAATAAAAGTCTGAGTACGTATGAAATTGAAGCGCCAAAGTATAAAGGAATGGTGTATTTACCTTGTCTCAAAATTTCAGCTCAAAATATTGAGTCGTTTGGACACGAACGTCAAAACTGCTTATCCGGACACATAACCCTTTTAAGATTTCTGGTCAATTTTTTCTTTGGGAGACTTGATAATCGATTGCTGTTCTTTAAAAGGTCTATAGAATGAATGACCTACGTGCTGTACTCAATAACGAAATGTATATTTCACCTACATGTAGACATTATTTTTATTAAATAAAAGTCTGGTTTTATCCAGGCACCGTATAATAAAGCTTGGGACATCGGTCTCCATTTCTAAATGAAGACTGATTGGTTTAGGTTGTTTGAAAATGTATCGTGTATACTGAGTTAGTTGCTCGGACCTTAGGTAGAGGATTTTAAGGGCTTTTAACACAATACTAAGCAGTTTTATTGTCCAAAATATAATCGAGATTGGCCCTTTAAACTATTAACATTGATGCACTCGTACATAATTTCGTTTGACATGGATAATTTGATTATTTGGAAATCTCTGCATTGATAAATTTTATTAAGCTTTTATTAATATGTAGCCTACATGTAGTTTTTACGTACATGTACATACATGTAAAAGTTGATTGATCTTCTGCATTCAATCATTGAATGTATAAATTGATTTTATATTTATTATGAATGGTTCTATTTTCAAGGATGGAACGGTACGGCCTATGGAATCACTCTCATTGATCGATGCTGTAATGCCAGAAACTGTAGAGTCAAAGAAACAAGCAGCCGCCAAAGCTAATCCAATCAAAACGGAGACGGCAAATACAAATGGAGAAGATGCGTCGCATACAGTTGGTGAGTAACGGGCATGGTTTTTTTTTTGTTTTTGTTTTTTTACCCAACATTTTTATTATTATTATTATGCATTTATATAGCGCCACTTCCACAGTACTGTGCTCCAGTACGCTTTACAACATAGATATAAAAGCAAATATTGCTATTTGCCGTTTCGATATTTTTCTACTTTTATTTTATATTCAAATGTTTGCTGGACTGTTTATAAAGACTTCATAATTAGTCATATTATTTAGGCTTTGCAGTAAACAATAAGTCTGCAAAGACAAGACCAAAGTTGTAAAATCATAAGTGTATACATTGTAAAAAGAAATGTGTATTCACATAATTCCGTAAAGAAAAAGAAAAATAAATGTCCAAGACCAAAGTAGTAAAAACAATAAAACTATTCAAAATAAAACTGTGCTTGGTGATAAACCCTGACTTTATCGAAGTATTGCGATACTGTAATATATCGCAATACATTTTGTCAAGTATCGCAATATGATTTTTGGCCAGAATACAAAACACTAATTTAGATAAAGACATACAACAAAATAACCAAAATATCAACTAATTGTTGGGGGGGTTGGATGGCTGAATGGTTAGCGTGTGTGCGCTGTATCATAAAGTCTGTCATTGAGTCAACTGGCATGGTTTCAATGCCCTGGTTGTACGTGACAAGGAGCAGGGTCGCCTGTCCAACCTTGTAAGTTTTCTCCTTGTCCTCCAGTTTCCTCCCACTGCTAAAGACCCTACGCGCAAGCGAATTATTGAAATAAAATTAAACCATATGTCAATGTTAGTCCACAAATGACCTAGTTTGTGTTCAGTGGAGGTTAAACCCCATCTCTCTCTCTCTATCTCTCTCTCAACTAATTGTTGGGCTAAATAATCTGCTCAAACAGAGACCAGAGTTTGAGATATACCATAATCACCGTCTGGGATATCTGGCCCAACATTATTTACACAATGAATAATGATTATTTTCATCAGGACTAAAATTGAATTATTTTGTAAATATTTTGAAAGTTTTTTTGTATTTCTTTTAATAGGTTGACTATTATTATGCAATCTTAATAATCTAGCCATATATACCAAAATTTGATTTCCGTGCTCCAGTTTATAAATTTATTTCACTATACATGTACATTGCTTGACACCTAAAATCATAAAATGGACCAATCCACACCATTGACTTTGGTTGTCTCACTTCTGCTACTGGGCGGGCAAAATGCCATAAATTTCCCAAATAAGCATCTGGAAGGCTGACATTAGATCTGAAAAAAAGCCAGTGGATATGAAAGAAATGTTTGCTATAATAATAGGATGTTTACAAGAAACGCCACTACAATGCTGGCATGTTGATCTGTAGGATTTGAACGAAAGTTTGTTTAAAAGAAAGTTGAATGAGAGCACAATGCATCGCAAGGTTTATAATGTCCTTATAATGACCTGCAGTTTTAGCGCTTGGAGTACAGAATCATGCTATCATAACAAAGCTGGTTTGTTATATAAATTTATTTCGCAAACTTAAAGCCACGTATCGTCATTTGCACTTTACAGATCATATCTAATTGTTCATGACTTAATAATCCATGCTAAAATGTATTTAACATTTAATTAAGAATACATAATCAAAAATGAAATGGGGTTTAACGTCCTACTGTTCTGGGCTAATGAAGACGGGCATACGCCATACAGTGTGCTACGAGAGAGATTTTGCCCAAATAGCGGCATTACGGCCTACTCTTATATCGAATTCCAACTGACAAGGGATCTTTTACGTGCATGCCAATGTGTATGGTGTATTCCCATCTTCATTAGCCCAGTCGGAGCAGAACAGTAGGACAATAAACCCCATGTCATTTCATTTCATTTCACTATTTACATACATGTACATGACAAGTAGGTAGCCAGCAGCATTGATCAATGAAATTTCAGTTCAACATATCTTTGTTAATACTAAACAGAATTTAACCATTATTAGACTAATATTCCATATTTTAGAGATTCATCTTTTTAGTTTGCAAAGGAATCCTCAGACACTTTTCACTTTATTTTCTTGTGAAGCTACGGTCGCCTGTCCAATCTTGTGGGTTTTCTCCCTCTGCTAAAGACCCCTACACGCAAGCGAAAAATTGAAATAAAATTGTAGCATGTGTTAGTCCTAAAATGACCTGGTTTGTGTGGAATGGACCCCCCTCTCTCTCTCTCTCTCCTTGTGAAGCTATTAGTACATGATTGTATAAATGGTATGGGATATAAATAAAATGAAATTATTACACGAATTGAATCCCATTAGTATGATGAACAAAGGGTGAAAAATAATCCTAAACAGACCATACATCGAGAGATGAAAACCATCTCATTATTATTATTATAACAAAACAATATGACACAGACTATAGGTGATTTTGGCAGCTGAAGTGTTTTGTCAGCCTTGTTGAATTGGGTGGGATCCAATAGAAGATTACATAATATATGTGTTTCTATAAACTCATTGTGTTTGCTTTCTCAAGCAGAACCATTGACTATAATAAATTATAAATAAATAGCTGAAATTTTGTATGTCTAAATTTAAACTGGTTTATTTGGGACAATACATATCCTTTAACTGTCAGTAGTAGTTCAGTTGTTTACCTCTCTAGTTAGTTTTACAATATATTCTTTAAAGGTACATTATGGGAGATTAGAAAGCCTGGAAATAAGGCATCTGTCATAGACAATGTCAGGCACAGATTCAGGCATTGTCAGGCACTAAACCTCTAGTGCCTGTCATTTTGTCTGGCACTGATTTGTCTTTTTTTTTGATGTTATTATTAATACATGTCCGGCACTAAGTTGGAAATGTCAGGTACTATTTCATTAGTGCCTGACATTTTGTCAGGTACATGTACATGTAAAACCGTTATTTACAGGCCTACAGATTAGATAAAGAGCTGGTAGTTCTCACTAAAATAGTTAAAAACTAGATAATGTAAAGGGCATTTGCTGAAAATTTCAGTCAAATTCATCCACTCTGAACCGAAATTTACGATTAAATTTTGAGCCTAGCCTCGATCATCATTTCTAAAGTCGGAACGATAAAAAACAGGGCTGGCCACGAATAAATTGATGGCGAGCAGATGACTGCTCACGCAAATTTAGGTTTGGGCGAGCAATAAAAATTGCTCACGCAAAATGTTGTTTGCGTGAGCACACATTTTGTAACATTGTTTCAATTTAAAATCATAAGAAAATTGCTATTCCTGGCACAAAGTTTGCAGTAAACATGTGTGACCATCGCTTTCTGTTTTTGTTAGTCATACGTACTCTTCTTTATTAAAACCAATTTCCGTATGGATTTCTTCACCCCACGAAATAAATGTGGATAGGGCAGTCAGGTTGCCTTTGGCCATTATTACGCTTAGATTGAAAATTATACGACTGCACAATGGAATAAAACCGAAGTTCTGATAAAATAGGAAATACCGGTAAATATTAGTTTGAAACGTGTTCATTTAGCGTGAATGCCTACTGCCGGATGTAAACATTCTTTACTTTAGACTCGATTATCACGCGTTCGTTACTGGTGTTCGTAGGAAAACCAGTCATAACGTTCAGGTCTAAAGTGTATTTTTAGTAACAAGAGTGCTGAGCAACTTTTTAGCCAATCAAATTTAAGGAGGAAATGCCGCGTGCAGCTGGGTGAATCTCAGTTTGACAGACGAATTTATGAAGTTATTGACATTGTTGGTTTAGTTTCGGCAATAAACTTGTCAATATTTTGATTATTTTTACAGGGTTTTCTTAAAATTTTGCGCGAGCAACGAACCGCTCGCGTAAATGTAGATTTACGCGAGCGACTACTCGCGTCTCGTGGCAAGCCCTGAAAAACATAGTCTCGTTAATCCATTTAATGATTAATTCATGAATGGGAGTCGAACAGCAAATCGGAACCTAATCCAATAAACATCGCAGGCTAGCGATGACATCGAATGTTGATTATGGTCTGGATAAGTTAATTAATGTCTAATTAATAATTTTGATAACCTTTCGGGGCTAAAGAAAGACCTGCAATTGGTAGATTTAGATCATGCATAATGTATGTTTTATTCATAAAAATTAGATATGGTCTATAAAGTGCAATGACGAACAGTGGCTTTAATTAATAATTTTCCGCCGTGGTTTCCCCTTGTCAGTGGTGACAAGGACAGCTGTCTAGTCCTTCGGATGCCACGAAAAACCGAGGTCCCGTGTATACATTGAAATGCACGTAAAAGATCCCTTGGCAGTTGGAATTCGATATAAGAATAGGCGATAGTGCCACTGCCCGGGCAAAATTTCCCTCATAGCACACTGTATGGCGTATGCCCGTCTTCATTAGCCCAGTTCGGAGCAGAACAGAATTAATAATTTAATTAATAATTTAGATAACATTTCAGGGCTAAAGAAAGACCTGCAATAGGCAGTTTTAGCTCTTGCATATTAAATGTATTTTTAACTGTTCATTAATACATTAGAAATGGATGTAGTTTGTGTAATTTGTTGTTTACCTCTCTGATTACTGTTACATAGTATATTAATCATTGTATTCATGTTGTGAATAGGTTATAGTGACTTTCTCTAATATTTAACATGTATCACTGTAACCTGGGTAGCATTTAATCTTGTGTATCTAGCACTAATTTCTTTCACATTCGTTTAAAGTAGCAAGTCTCTAACTCATTATCATCCAAAGTCTTCAACATTGAAACCACAAATTGTCAATTTAAATCAACATTGATGTTGTGATCTCACTGGGCCACCGTAGCCCACAACTTAAACATGCATTATGCAATCTCGAGCAAAATCTGCTTATTACAAGTCTTTCTTTAGGCCTGAAATGTTATCTAAATTATCAATTAGACATTAATTAACTTATCCAGACCATAATAAACTCTCGATGTCAAGGCTAGCCTTCGATGTTGGCTGGATTAGATTCCAATATGCCGCTAACGGCTATTGATAATTAAATCAATAAAAGTGGATAATAGAGA